CATCATAGTAGGTATTATACATGCTCCTGTACACTTTCTTCACACAACAGTAAGTTGGTTGTAAAATCACCAGGAGGAAGAAGTTATAATGCAATAAACCTAAATTTCAGTGTAAGATTTCCAGGGGTAACTTGAGCTGCTTCTGACACTTTTAGTATTTAAAACAGATGTGTAGAACCGTATGTTGGGAGCCCAGTGGTCACAGTACTGAGACATTCCTTGATCAATGATGATATTTCAAGCAGACTGCTGTTGCAGATAAATACTGCTAGGAGATTGATGACACTGGCCTTTCTTTTTGACTGTTTGAATTGGCAGTTTGGCAGATTTTCCCTTTCAAAGGGAAATCTGAATCACCTATTGAACATGTTACAAAAAACTTCTCTTACTCTATATTCCCTTATCACTTAACATACATAGGTTGTTCTTCACTGTCTTACACTTGACAAAGTACTCTAGTATGCGTGTATCTCCGCAGTGAGGTTATAGCTCCTTGAAGACAAGGAGCCATGTTTTATAATATTAGACATGGTTTATGACTCCCATAGCATCTAATTTCTAGGGTAAAAATAGTTCAGTAGTGGTTAAGAGATTGGGCTTTGTAGTTACACAGACCTAAATTCAGATCATTGTTCTGTAATTTATTAATGTCATGACCTTGGATAAATCACAAGTATCATTTTCCTGAAAAGTAAAATGGAAATAATAACATCTCATAAGATTCTTGAGAGGATAATATGCCATATAACTGTTTAGTACTGAGCCTTGCCCACACAAAATGCTCAAATCACAATTATTGTCATCATGAAACATAATATTTCAGCAAAGTTTGTTAAATTAATTGACTCTCCTGTGGACAGGATTGGAAAATATATGGACTTCAAAACTTCATATGCCCAGTTTTTCTAATCCCCACTAATTTTAACTGATAGGAAGAGAAGTATATGAAATAATTATGTGGTTAACTTAATTCAATTCCAATGATGATTTCACTAGTCCAAGTCAAACATTAAGTATTTGATTTCACAAAGAATAGGGAGGGGCCAATTAAATAGGGAAGGAGAAATAATTCTGGGTCAGTTATTTTCTATACTTAATATCTCTGAATATCAGTTAAAAAATATAATTCTTGTTTTGATTGAAAGTGTTCTCATAATAACTACTAGGTTAACAGGATTTTGAAAGGGCTTTCTCAAACCATCTTTTTTGTTTCATCACCATTTATAAAATATCAAAATCCCAAAACAATATTCTCTCTTGGCAAGTTACAGTCTCTACAAACTGCTTTCAGACAGAAATAGTGAAGGTACAATCACAGGTAGAATAGGTTTGGGGTAAGAAGAGAGCATGGCAGACTCCTAAAATCTAACCAGCATTATTAAATTGATAACTAGTGAATACAGCAGCAAGAGCTAAAGTAGAGATGGGCCAATGTTCCTAACAAATTCACTGGGGTAATAAAAGTTTTAAACTGGGAAACAAGGCTGGGGAGCTAGAGTGGGCATGCAATTCAAGAAAAATTTGAATAAGCCTACCTTTGAAAATCAAAAGCCTGTGTAATATTCTGAGCTGGAAATTTGACAAATAAGATTATGGAAAACAGTTATATGGAATACTTAATGGTATATTCACAGTCTTGGTTTGGATTCTCCCAAAGCAGACCCTGAGATAAGGATTTGGATGTAGGTAGTTTATTTGGGAGATGATCCCAGAAATACTGCAAGGAAGTGACAAAGTCAGACTGGAAGGGAGGAAAAATAAATAAAGGGTGTGTTAATGAGCAGGTTCCTACTCAGTCCTACCAGAACATAACATAGGTTGGGGGGTTATTCATTCACCAACTCCCACCATTGATTGAGAATCATTTCACTAGGATTTTAACAATCTGGCAGTTCTAGTCTGCTTCCTATGCTTGTTAAGCTGTTTTTGCAGACAGAGAAGTGTCTCTGGCAGACAAACATAGGAAGACTTCTGCAGATGACTTTTGGGATGGGCCAAGTGGACATGGGTAGGGCACCAACAGTGTTCATGACAGCGGGAGATAGGTAGGGCACCTCACAGATTTGATAATCCCATATTAGACCAAAGATGTTCTATTTTAAACAAATGAGTAACCTGGAAAAAAAAACACACTGAAAGCTTCCACTCATTTGTATTACTTGAAAGCTTGATACCATGTTCTCCACATAGGTTTCGTTCTTTTATTTGTTAAAATATTTATTAATTAATTATGTGTCAGACTCTGTTAGGTACTGAGGATATAAGAGGTAGTGACTAAGTGGCTGCCCTCGTGAAGCTTACATTCTAGTGGGCAGGGAGTGGGCAAAGGCAACCAAGCTAATAAATTTAACTGATTCATTAACAGTTTCAACTCCTTGGAGAATAAACTTGAAATGGTATGATTTTTTTCCCACTAATTGCTACATTGCTCTATTGTACTTACCTTTTTTCACTGGGAGACAGGGACAATGGTAAACATTTCAATTCTATAATTTTTCAGCTACTTCCCCATCTTAGAAGAGTCATTTTGGTTTTAAAGCATTTTTCTTTCTTAATTCAAGCTCCTATCTGATTCAAATAGTGTCTCTTCCTTTTTACTCAAATAGGACATACATAATGGCTCTAGTGGGGAGGAGTTTGGGGGCTGCATGGTATGCTTTTATACATCTCTCCTTCTTCCCTTTTCCCTTGTACGTTTTTTGGTGTTGCCTTATAAAGGGAGTGGCTGGAGAAGAGAGAGAAAAGACAGATATTTTTGACTGTGCCTTCTCCCTGGTTAGTCATAATTGCTCTTCTAGCTGTCTATGGGCACTATATAAACTGGTAGTTTTATAACAGCCTGCTGATGAGAGGCTTTCCCAAGCATCTACTTTGGCATTGGAAATCTCTTACCAGATTTGATTACATCTTCTGTCAGACCTTCAACTGGTGCCATCATATCACTTTCCTTTCACATGCATTCATCTGTCTCATGTTGCAAAGCCTCTGGCAAGAATCATCTATTTACCTAGTCCAACTTGGAAGTTTGGGCATATGCCAAATCCATCTTCCATGACTCTTGGGACCCAGAAATTTGCTGTATGTTGGGAGTAGGTGAGAATTAGGCCTTTCCCCTCTGTCATCTGGCAGTCTCCCAACACACCATCTCCCCAGGGTTCTTTATCCCTGCCTCAGTGGTGCAAGGGGGAGTCCAGCATGTCTGATGGTACGTTATATGGTCAACTAGGAAAGGAAAAGCCTGTCTTCCTTATCAAAAGGTGACCTTCTCCTCCTTCCGAGACCTCTTTGTTTACTGATGTGGTGGGAGTGGGGTGATAAGAAACTAGCTGCATTAGTTCACTGAGCTGGTGGCTTCAGACACCAAACTCTGGGAGTTTTCTGAATTTAGGATATTAGGTAGATCTTTGAGGTAAATTCTGGGAAAAGAGGATCTCACCCAGCACTTGATATATCACCTTGTTACTCTTACATTCTGGGTAAGGTTCTGCAATATTAGGTCCAATCCCATTTTTTAAAAAAATAAATCTTTATATATAATTCTGGATCTTTAAATGTTAACCAGAGGATGTTTTCGCCTTTCCACTCAGATTTTCTTCCATTTGTTATTTCTGGGATTACTGTAGTTTTACCTCATAGCCCCCTTAGCCATTTTAATTTTTTTAAAAACTAACATTTTTTTTTTTTTGAGACAGAGTCTCACCCTGTTGCCCGGGCTAGAATGTCATGGCATCAGCCTAGCTCACAGCAACCTCAACCTCCTGGGCTCAAGCAATCCTTCTGCCTCAGCCTCCCTAGTAGCTGGGACTACAGGCATGCGCCACCACGCCTGGCTAATTTTTTCTATATGTATTAGTTGGCCAATTAATTTCTTTCTATTTTTAGTAGAGACAGGTTCTCGCTCTTGCTCAGGGTGGTTTCGAACTCCGGACCTTGAGCCATCCTCCCGCCTCCCAGAGAGCTAGGATTTTACAGGTGTGAGCCACCACACCTGGCCAATTTTTTAAAACTAAGATTTGATGTACATTTATTCCTAACATCTGGTTTGCCACTTTTATATCTTGGGTTTATGTTGAGCCCAGTGTACCTCTGTGGTGCTTATATTCTGATTCTTAAAGAATTCTAGATGAGCCACTATGTAGGTAACCAATTTACTGAAAAGTCTTAACTCAGTGGGGACAACAACTTAACAGTTTGGTGTTTTTCCTCAAATGCCTACTGGTGGTGCTTTAGAGAACCCCTTTCCCTGTTACAGAATGGGGAGACTTAATAATATCAGTCCAATTTCATATTTTTTTTCAGTTATTTTTGGTTTTGGAATAGTTTCATTCCAATTGTTTAAGACTCAGTACTCTTCATTTTCAAATGTCAGTGTCAAAGTTGAGTAAGAACTCTTCCTGGAACATAAATAAACAAAATAACTGTTAAGTGTTGATCAGTCTTACAAATAAAACCAGCAAAGTGGTGAGTTAGAGAATGATGGAGTTAAGATTGGGTAGTCAGCAAAGGCCTGAGATATGTACGATGTTAAAAAAAAAAAACACCGAAAAAGAAAAAACGAAACTTATGTGAAGAGTGGAAAGGAGTATTCCAGCAGGAAGATAATGTGCAAAGGCCGTGGGAACAAAATGATGCTTCTTTTCAGGGACAGATAAAACAACCATAGTAGCTTGAGCATAGCCAAGAAGGAGAATGTTGTGACATAAGATGGAAGAGGCACCTAAGAGCCCTACCTGCAGGCCCTCAAGTCTCATAGAAGGAGTTCAAATTTTACTCTAAATCCAGTGGAAGGAAAGCCATTGAAAAGTTTTAAGTGGGGGAACTCTGACATGATTTAACTGTGAACTTTGATGTTTTCTTACATTTGCATAAAAATAAAGCCAGAAGTCACCAGGTTGCTATTATTTCTGTAATGGATCTTTGAGAAATGTAAAATTACAGCTGCTGTTTTGTTCAGGCCAAGATCTGTGGTTTTAACTTTATATCCTTTTTTGACATTTCAGCTGCCAAGGAAAGTGAACGATGAAGCTGCCATTTCTTTTGGCCCTTGTGGTCTGTTCTGTAGTCAGCACAAATTTGAAGATGGTGTCAAAGAGAAATTCTGGTAAGTTGCTGGCAACTTGTCACTATTTGGTCAAAAATGTGTGGTTTTTATAAACATCCAGAGGGCATCTGTGCCTTTAACTATGAATATCTTTACACAGAAGCACTTGTATTGCAGCTGTGTTGGGAAGTAGCCAAAATAAAAATGAGGTTTTACTCTACCACTAAGAAAGTGTTGGGAAAACCAGTGGAATTTTGTTAAACTTCAATGACCAGTATACTCTCAGTGGACAATGAAATGTTAAGAGCCTACTTAAAGTTGGCTACATTTGCTAGTGAATAAACACCCTGGAACAGACTTAAAGGAGAAGATAGTAAACCTTTAAGAATATATATTCTTTGCTTCCTAGTTGAGTTTGTAGCATTGCAATTTAAATGAAAGCTTTTGACAAATATCAGTGAGCTTTAGTTCCTCATATTGGTATGGAATCTCTAACAGGCAGAGATTTAAAGCCTACAAGTTCAGAAATATTAGCTAATTGCCTGAAGAGGAATTTCTTGAGAAGAAATATATTCCTAGAACATGGTGGTCTGGCAGGCAGCCATGATTGTATTAACAGATTAGCTGTAACCCATAGATATTCCAATCAAAGCTTAATCATTGTTTAATAACACTTGGATATATATATGTCTTTCAGTTTTGATTATACATTCTAGCTATAATTACAAACTATGCATGAGATTTTAAGAATTGATTTTCTGTCTGTAATCATTCCAGTAAGACATTGAGGAATATATTATTATATGGAAACAAAAGATTATACTGGGGCTTTCTACTGCCTTCTAATTCAGTTATTTCCCAGAATTAAATGTATGTGCTTTACTTTGTCATTAAGTATCAAATCCAAGCAATAAAATGCATGCTTGCTTTTCAAAGCAATACATTCTGGGTGGGGCTTGGAGTTTGGTTAATGTTTGTTTTCTGAGGCAAGAATACTTGCTAATTAAAATAGCTAATAAATAGTTTTGTTCAATTGATAATACATTAATAAGTTTTTCCAAAAGTGGATCACGGACTATAGGATAGATTGACACTGCTGAAGTCCAAAGGATTCCGGAATGGTAAAGGTAGGGCAATATATTGACTTTTTCTGATAGTATGCACTCATGTATATATTTAAATCACTTTTGTATATTTTCACTCTCAGCTGTATTTGTGTGTAACATTTTACCTGTCATCTCTCCAACTTGGCATATCATTCATGGATGCCTTTCCTTGTCTTAACTTTTGAAGTCACATTTTCACTTTCAATCTTGGTGTAGATTGATAGTTGCTGAAATAAAATACCTGGAGAGATTACTTACTACCATATGTAACTTGTTGGATCAGATCCCATTTTCCTCACTTGGTTATGTCATAATGTCTGGAGCAGAATCTGAAAGGAAAAAAATAGAATCGAGGGTTTAAAAAGCCATCTATATATTGTGGTAGCTTAATTAAAGTCCAAACTAAAAACAAAAACAAGTTGCTACCCATATGTTCTATCTTGGTTTCCTTATTATTTATGAGGAAAATGGATGTTAAAAAATGTGTGTGTGTATATTTATATATATCTTGAGAGAAGGTTATTGATATACAGTTATTAAAATCAACTTTTTAATGTGTAGCCCCTTTATTTTTATGTGTCAAGTGTGAGGCTATTTGTGGCTTGCTAGGGGTTCCTAGCTTTGTCTTCTTAGTATGGATAAATGGTATCAGATCTGCAGTCAGCGTTATTGAAGAAACAATTACCCAAAAAGTTATTTCCCTTAGAGTCAAAGTGTTTGAATAGTTTGAGTCTCACCTTCCCTATGTATAATAGCAATTGTAATTTTGAAATAAAACTTTTCCTACAGGTCTGGCCAGTGGTGATGGTTTGAATCCACAGTTGGTTCTTTCCTTTTATGCTTTCCTGCTTCTGTTTATGGTGTAAATGGAGTAGGCAAGAAAGACTAATGGGTTGGTTAGTTTGTGCTTGTTTATGTGTGTCATTTTGTTTGTATGTTTGTTTATTATTTCATAATACAAAATATTGGACGAGTGAAAGACATATTGCCTATAGATGATAAAAATGGGGGTACTTTGGAGCAGTTCTTTTTACTTTTCCCTTCTGTTTAGCCACCCCTATCATAACCCTCTCTCCAGCCTTCCACCTCTGTTAATATTATTATTTTATGTAGAAAATAGAATTATTTGTACTCTCATTGTGATGGTCCTATTTGAGTTGTCTTATCTTTTGAATAACATTAAAAATGCTCTGGCAAATCTGTAGTACAAAGTTTTGCCTTGTGCAGCTTGTGAGGTCCTTTACCTGTTGCCAATTAAGGAGATTTGGGTTCAGGCTTGCTTGGTTACTCTTCATGGAATCACTGATGGAACTCAGAGCTTTTATTTTTCTCCTTGCTTCCCTTCCTCCAAGTCAAAAAATGAAGAATGATTGTGCCCTTTATTCATTAACATTTATGACTGTTTAGTGCCAGATGTCAAGCCAGTTATAATGATTTCTGTGCAGTTCGTTGTAGACAGAGATCCCTTTCACTGAGATCTTTACAACTACAGTTGCCATTGACCTCCCTTATGCACAAGATAGAGGAGCAAGGGATGGAAGTTTCATCTTGTGCACTTGTCAAACAAGGAAATGAACTTAATAACAGATGCAAGTTGGGTTTTTGTTTTTTGGGTTTATTTCGATTTACTCCGGGCACATATTGAAGCAAAACTCCTGATTTTGGGTGGTGTACGATGTTTAGATGCACCAACACAGGCTATGTTTCCATGTAATGCCCATTCTACCTGGGCAAGCCCAAGCATCAACCCTGGTTTAGGGAACAGCAAAGATGGCACTGAGACTGCATGTAGGGCTTGGGTGTATTAGAACATAACCAAAATGCACAGCATTTAATTTAAGAACTGTAGTTGATTAGCCAAGTGTGAATTTTTTGTCTTCTTCACAGAATATTCATAATATCTTTCAGTATTCACATTTTCTAAATTTAAGACTATAGATAGGGTCATTTAGAAAGCCTACTCTATCAAAAATTGGTTTACTTTCCTTAAAGGTGTCATTCTTAATGGCAGGAAATTGGCTAATATCTTGATAAAGGTCAATGACAGAAATGCCCATTTCCTTTCCCAGTAGAGGACACATGTACCTACAACTAATTTTTAATAGGCTGGGTGGGAGAAATTACTCTCCCTCAAGAAGAGGTCACTCAAGATCTATTTAGCTATTTTTTTTTAACCTGAAAAACTATGTCTCCAGAATATGCACAGACTTTATTATTTGGGGCATTTAATTGTTCCTTTAGCTTTCCTTTGGCTTTTGTTGCTGCTACACAAAAATGTGAGCTGTGTTATGCAGTTGTTGGCATTCAGTTCTCCTGGGGTAGAGGTCCAGATCAGAGGAGAAGGCATGAGTTTGATGAGAGGGTGTGTTTAATTTTGAACCCGAATTGGGTCAACTTGCAGTTGGTTCATATGGAGGATGACCATAGCAAAACAACTTCTCAGTGAAATGGTATTGGGAGAAAAATTGCAGAGCTACCAAAATATCTTAGTCGGCTAGAACAGTGTAAGGACCTGCTAGCACACAGTGGGTACTTAGAAATAGATTTTGAGTGCCCTTAAATAGAACCATTCAATTCCATGTAATAACAGAAGGGCTTTATTTTGAGGCTTTGGTTTATATAATAGAATTATGGAATTATCTGATTGTTGATGAGGGGCTAGCAGTTTGTTTTCACTAGAAATACATTGGTTTCAGGATTTCCATTTAGATAACTAAGGATGACCATAAAGGCAAAAGTAGATATTATGTGAGCTTACATTTCTGGAAAAAGCTGGAAAGAGTCTCTTGAACCATTTCCAAGTGTAAATAAGATAACTTCCCTTGTAAAATTGATAGCTATATAATTAAAAGCAAAACAAATTATCATGTTTCAAATTCTTCAAAAGAGACAATAAAATGTTTTATTTTAAAATGCTGGTTAGAAGTAATGTTGCTTTGAGGATATTCATACTGTGCCCTTTAGCTGTGGAGTGCAAGAATGCTAGATAAGAAGAAGATCAACAAGGTGCTACTGAAAATTCATATCCTAAATTTATTCTAATAAGCTAGGATCAAGGAGGAAAATACTTCCCCATGATCTATCCTTTAATTGAAAGGGACAATCTGAGACTTGGTTCTTTTATCTCTTTAATTGGGGTAACTTCTCTGGAGGAAACTGCATCTTTGAAGGATGGGAAAATCATACCGGAAGGGTGGCCTGAGGTTACTGGAAAGTGGTATAGGACAAAGTTTGGAGCATAAGAGAAAATTTAGAGGAAGTAAGGAGTAGGCAAAGATGAGAAATATTAGAAAGAACTTGTGGCCAGAATTGAGCTGAATGAAACACAAGAACTTTAGGGTTCTTATCATTGAATTTTATATGGCCCAGGCATAGCTTATTGAACTCTTACCATATGTGCAGCATTCCACTAGTCCTCTGGTGGAGCTGAGGGAGAAGGAAAATAAATCAAAACTTCTTTGTTCAAAATACTTAATCTCATTGGGATCAGTGAATGGCTAAGCAAGTTATGGTTTTAGTTTTTCTTAAGCTTTAGTATAGGCCCTATTTTATGGCATGTTCCTTTCTCCTAAGATAGCTTTCTGGAATTTTAGCTGGATGCCCAGGTGTTAACAAGGCATTCTGATTATCCTTTAATATCACTGTTTCATTATTAACTGTGTAGTGGTCATTCTCTGATGATAAGCCTTTTGGTAGCCTTCCCTGAGCATGTTCAGTCCAGTCTTCAGTCAAGGACTCATGGGGAACCCACATACGGATTTCATGGGCTCGCCTCTGTGACCCTCTTTCTTTTTGCTTGGGTTCCAGCTATTTTAGCTGCTCCTTCAGAATTCTGATCTCTGTAGCTTTGGCTTAGTGGGACCACTAGGCTCTGTCTAGCTCATATTGGTGAATTGTCCCCAGGTGGAGAGCTGGATTGACTGTAGGGCTTTTTTTTTTTTTTTTTTTTTTTTT